TGTTACTCACACTTTCACGGACCCAAGGGAGATCCCTCAAGCTATTCCACTGCACAAAAGTGAGGACATAGATGTTAATAATTATCGGCCAATCCCTTTACTACCAGTATTCTCCAAGATAATAGAAAAGATAGTGGCCAAGCAGTTGATGTTATTTTTAGAATTAATTACAACATTAATTAATTTAAGTAGAATCTCTTAATAGAAACTGCTCTTCTCAAGATAGCAGATAAAATCTGTAGTAATACAGACAATAATAAAATGTTTTTGCTTTTGCAGCTGGACTTGTTCAAGACTTTTGATACCGTTATCATGATATATTAGTAACCAAACGTATGAAGATGAATGTAGATCCTTTCTGGCTTAAGGATTACCTTAAAAACAGGTCACAGTGTGTAAGAACTCAAAACGGAACGTCAACTCGGAAGAATGTTTCCTTTGATGTCCCCAGAGGTCAGTATTAGGACTTTTTTTTTTATGTAAATGACAACAAAATGCTTAACAAATTGCTTTGTGGTTTAATATGAAGATTCTGAATATAACTAGTACCTCTGTCTCTGATCTAATCGAAAGAGCAGAAAATATTTTAGTGACTGTCAGACTTTACTTTCAAAAGAATGACTTTCTTCTGAATGAGAAGAAAACTCAATGTATTTTTACTGGTTCACTACATGATGTGTTACAACCGCAATATAATATGGTTACATATTTTAATGGAAGTGATATAACGCCTAGGACAGTTGTCAAAACTTAGGTATCTATTTTGATCAGTATGTTTCTTTTTTTTAGCGTACATTGATGAACTGTATGAAAAGATAATTGGTACTCCACTATATCTGAACAGGATCAGTAATTGTTTTGAAACCCAAACACGAAATATGGCTGCGCAGTCTCTAGCACTCAGCCTCATGAATAATTGCTCAGGAATACGGGGAGCCACAAACAAAACGTCCAGAGAGAGAGAGAGTTTAAAGGCTTCAAAATTTCGTAGCAAAGGTAGCCGTAGGAGGTCTAAAATGTATGGTCATGCAACATCTGCACTCAAGTAGCTAGAATGGCTAAAAGTGGACGATAAATGTGTTTTTGAACTGTGTCTTGGTTTTTAAAGTAATTAATAACCAGTTTTAATAATCAATTTGGTGACTATTAGTGAAATTAAAGCTATAGTAACTAGGCATAGTAATGATTTGTACGTTTCAAGGACTAATACCACAAATGACATGAAAATTGTAACTGTACGATGCTCACTACTGAAAGAGATTCCTCAAGAGAATAAAAATACAGGTTCTCTCCCTCTGTTGGGATACTGTAATATTCCCATTTTTTACGATCTAATGTTGATGTCCAAATACTAGTGCATTCTAGTCATACTTTTGAGATTTTACCCTTTACCTCTTCTTGTTTATGATATATGAGTGTATATTCCTTAATGTATATTATATGTAAATATGCCCGCGTGAATCTTTGTAAACGCATTGTACTTTGAATACATTGAGAACTATTGTAAGGAATAACCAATGTAAATTGGAAATAAAGGTTATTATTATTACTCACTCTTTTATTTCTCCCCTCTCTCTTCTCTTACTCCTTTCTCTCTTCTCTCTCTCTCCCTCTTCTCTTACATTCTCTTCATTTTTCCTCTCCTCTCTCTCCTCTTTTTTTTCTTATTTTTCCTCTCTCCTCTTTTTTTCTCTCTCTTCTCTCTCTTTCTCTTGTCTCTCTCTACTCTTTCTCCTCTCTCTCTCTCTTCTCTTTCTTCTCTCTGTCTTTTCTCTTTCTCCTCTCTCCATCTCTCGCATCTATTTCTCCTCTCTGCTCTCTCTTCGCTTTCTCCCCCACCTCTCTCTCTCTATCTGTCTATCTCTCGCTCTCGCTCGCTCTCTTTCTCTCTGTCACACACACACACGCACATATGTGTGTGTGTTATTGTGTGTTATAAATGTAAATATACTGACATGAAAAACAGCTTACTTTATTCTTATTATCGCTCAAGCTACTTCTCACTGAATGATTATAAATGAGTAAACTTAACCAAATCCTTTTGTGTCTTGACATTTTGTTACAGATAATTCATGTCTTTACTGAGAGATATATATTATTCAGATCATCTTATTTTCTGAAGAGCTCTACGGTTTTTCAATCTTTTCTAAGCATGGTAAAATACAGAAAGTGACAAGAAGGCAGAGAAATGGAGTTAAAGATAGGGAGGAGAGGGTGAAAGCAAGGGAGTGACAGAGTGACGGAAAAAGAGAGAAATAACTAAAAAATCGGAGAAAGAGAAGAAAATCTAGAAAGAGGGAGAGAGAGAGAAGAGAGAGAGAGAGAGAGAGAGGAGAGAGAGAGAGAGAGAGAGAGAGAGAGAGAGGAGAGAGAGAGAGAGCCAGAGAGAGCGAGAGCGAGAGTGACCTACACACGCCACTTCCCGACATGCCCCCCGCCGACGCAGAGCTCCCTCGCGTCTCCCCAGCGGCGTGTTCGGGGCCAAGCGGAGGGCTGAGGCGGAACCCGACCTCCCCGGCACGGAAGTCGGCGACGTGATGGCCAAGGTCAATTACATCTCATCGGGGAAAACAAATGACGGTCGTTCGTCCTCCATTAACTTTCTCGCGGTGTTGATGGCAGGTCTCCTCTCACGGGTCAGCAGGTCGTGCCGGATAATTGCAGGCTCTCTGACGTCGCGCACACAACGGACGATTTCTCGGAAGTTCCCGCCAACGAAGGGACTTGGCGCTTCTACTTCGGGGAACTTTCTCGCGCCGAATGGGACCTGGCCGGGACGAGGCGCTGGCGAGGGAGATGTAGGTCGATGCCTTGGGACTTGGCAAGGTGTGTGTGTGTGTTGTGTGTGTGTGTGTGTGTGTGTTGTTTGTGTGTGTGTGTGTGTGTTGTGTGTGTGTGTGTGTGTGTGTGTGTGTGTGTGTGTGTGTTTGTTTGTGTGTGAGTGCGTGTGTGTGTGTGTGTGTGTTTGTGTGTGTTGTGTGTGTGTGTTGTGTGTGTGTGTGTGTGTGTGTGTGTGTGTGTGTTGTGTGTGTGTGTGTGTGTGTGTGTGTGTGTGTGTGTGCGCGCGTGTGCACGTGTGTGTGCAGCCACATTTTAGTTGCTCTGGTTCTTGTCTCGCTCGACTGTCCTTCACCTGAAGCACCGAATCTCGAGCCGGGGCCGTGACGTCACAACCCGCTCTCCTTTGCCCTGGCTTGAGATACTGACCGAGAGCGACGCCGAAATGCAGGCACGCACAGTGGCTTGCTCGGCGTATCGCTGTCCTTGCAAACAATTCCTAATAGATTTGCATGGGAAAAGACAACAACTGGTGGGTTGTCTTGAGAACTAATTTAAATAGAATTTAACTTCAACTTCAGTGAAACCGCATTTGCTCAGCTAGTGAATGCTGCGCTGGGTTTGGAAAGGATGTCGAAAAGCAATGTAATCATTTGTATTATTTTTCTGCACAATGCTCTGGGAAAGGACATCTTAGATGTAAAAGATGAATGCGTTACTAGTGTAGTTCAATTATAGTGGCTAAGCTTATCAAAGACGTACATACAGACTTACAGACACACCTTTACAAACTATACATGATAAGTCTTTCCGTCCCATTCGCGAGGAGGCGAATGACGCATATTTGTTTCCATCCCTAACACTCGGCCCTTGAACGAGCCATTAAGGTCTCGTAACGAATCGGTTTGGTAACAGATCCATGAATACGAAAAGTTTCTTCTGCTCATTCCTCATTCTAAAGTGTTCCGTAAATATGCCTTGCACATTACACGCCAAAATCGTGTTTAAAGCCTTTTTCTTCGTGCTTGTTAAAACGATGTTATATCCTCTGGCTACTGCTTTCAACGCAGATGTTGCTCAGTAGGTCAGCATTTTCGTCTTCCAAATCAGTAACAACATTTACGTTCGTATTGGCGTGCGAGTCCCTGCGTGGTGGTAATGATCTAAAATAATTATGACAGATCTATGAATTACTGATGGTGGTAATAGTAAGGCTGGTGATTGTAATAATAGTAATGCTTATCAAATATATGAAGCCAGAGATACTGTAGTGATAGTCGTGATCGTAATGATAATATCATTAATGATAATGACAATATTTATTTGTAATATAAAATTATATATATATATAAATATATATATATATATATTGTTATAAGATATTTTGATATTATTATACATTTGTACTTATAACGATCAGCATCACCGTTCATCAGACATTTAACCAAACCCATATAGTTCATCATGTTCGTTATTTCATCACAGTCTTTGCACATGTCAACGTCTTCGGCAAACATGCTAACAATGATTATCACAAGAACTCCCACTCTACCAGACGCTGAGGGAAATCCTCTCGCATGCACACGCCACCTAATCAAATATTCAGCAAAAACAACAACAACAACAACAACAACAACAACAACAAAAAACTTAGCGAGGAAAAGCCTGTGTTGAAGCGGCAAGTTCACACGAACGCTAAGTATCCGCGAGCAGAGAGCAGCTCGACATATGGCGGAAGTTCTCTCGCGCTCTGTCTCCCTTCTGGCTTTATCTCTCTCTCTCTCTCTCTCTCTCTCTCTCTCTCTCTCTCTCTCTCTCTCTCTCTCTCTCTCTCTCTCTCTCTCTCTCTCTCTCTCTCCCTATCTATCTATTTAGCTAGTTATCAATCTGTCTCATTTGTCTCTCGCAACCCGTCTCTCCCTTAGCCTCCAGCCAGACACAGGAATGGTTTCCCGAGGTGTCAGATAATTTGCTCCTTACTGCAGCACTAAAACTTTTGCGGCGGCTCCTAGACTCACTTATTGTTTCGCTAAAATGTCTGTGGTGTTCCCTCCCTCCCTCACCCCCCCCCTTCTCTGCTGGTGGCTATGTCTAAGAGCACAGACCTTCGCTAAGTTCAGTGGAGCACTAGTTTTTTTTATTATTTGTTAAATGTATTGCATTGTTCTTCACCATCTTCGTTATTGTTATTATCATTATCATTATTATTGTTATTATCATTA